GGGGGAGAAACGCCCCGGCTCGCGGCTGCCGGCAGGCGGGCAAAGAGCAGCAAAACGAAGGGGGGCGCGCGGCCGCCCGAGCTTGGGACCGGCCGGCGCAACAGCGAAGGGGCGCCGACAGCCGGCGCACCGAACCGAAAATCGCAACGCATGCCAAAAGGGGGCGGCCCCGCGCCGCGTTCGGGGCGGCGCGCCTCAGCCGGCGGAGCGGCTCCTGCCCGCCCGCCGTCCCTGGCGCGCCGGCGGCGCGGGCCCTGCTGGCCCCCTTGGCAATTTGCAGGCCCAGTCAACCCAACACACCAACAGGCCAAGCCTTGAGCTTGGCAGAATGTATACGCACGCAACAATCGGCCAACCTTCTCGGCCCATCTATTTTCTTTGTTCTGGGGCGCCTTCTCCGTCATATCTCACCCCCATAGACTGCTCTTGCTGCCGGCCTGATGCGGGTGCGAAATTGATGTGCATCACGCCACGCGCGCGCGCGCGCGAGCACGCGCGCCGCCGACGCTCCCACTTGATGCTTGTGCATATGTGTGCGTGTGCAAACGCAGGAAGAGTAAGGCACACATGGTACCGGCCGGCCGTCGCGGCCGAAACGCCCGGGAAGCGGGGCCCGCCGCCAGCCAGGCCCACGCGCGCCCCAGCGGCCCGCTGCCGCGCCCTCAAAAGCGGAGGCGCCACGTCGGGGCTGCGGGCTTCGGGCGGCGCTTGCGTGGGTGGCGGGCCTGGCCGGGGGCTGGCGATGCCAAGCTCCAGGGGTGCAAGTGAAGGGCGTGCCGTTGGTTGAGTTTGATGCGGCGGTCACCGGCGTAACCCGGTGACCAAAGTGTGTGGCCGGCAGCACAGTGTTGAAACCCCATGTGTCATAAACGGCGAGCGGTGGGATCGTCTTGGTCAGGGTAGAAAGGGCGGGCGGCGAGCAGTGTCGGGTCATGTTGTGTTGAGTCACGAGATCGTCAATCTGTTGAAGTAAAGTCAGTTGTGATGTCAGCATTGATGACCGGCAATTGCGTCGTGCGAACCGTGATGATCGTCGCCCAATGCTGCAAGAGCGCTTGGCGCGCTGGGACGGGCCCGGCGGGGCGGG